CGTGTTCTGTACCGGTCTTCCTATCGTAGATTCTACGCTACGTTGCCGACGAAAAAGCTCGACCTTTTCGCGCACAACGGAGAATCCGTACTTCGTATTCACAGGTCATCATAGACGTGTTTTTCTCCCGTAATAAAGATAGAACGCATCGCGCGACGAAAGGATAAAGCTGATAGTCATTTTTATTTCTTTTATCGCGTCATCCGAGTCTGATGTTATCAAGAAAGGACGCTTCTGCAAGCTTTTGTGATATCTCGAGAGGCTGAGTAAGAGAGAGAGAAAGAGAGAGAGAGAAAGAGAGAGAGAAACTCTCTTGTTTACAATATAATAACTTATTTATTATTTCTATGTAACGTTCTTGAACAATGACAAAACCAAAACAATTCTGCGAACGTGATTCAATGATTTTCACGTATATTGTTTTCGATGTGATTGGAAAATAACGCGAATTATATTTTCTCAATTAAACGCAATAACTGCACGCGCGTGATTATACACAAAAATCATTTTCTTTTAAACATTTGTATTTATTTGCACTTAATATTGTACATATACATATATTCCCGTTCTGTTTAAAATTGATGTTGTTCAATTATAGAAATTGTAATCAAACACATTTCTGTGAAACGTGAGTTTATCACATTTGTTCGGCCAAATTACACGCGTGACATTTTCATTATACATGGCACTCGCTTCGACAGATATGTCATAATCGTAACAATTATATCCGCGTCGTTACCACATCCGTGTAACATTTATTCTACTCGTCGAACAATCCATTCTGTTGTTACGAGTAAAATAAAGATTGATTTCTGTATTATAAATTTATTTCAATTCATTAGTTTATATATTTAAATTAATTTTTTAAGAATATATTTACAGATTAAACAAATAATTCTCCGCGTCGTGTTTATTCCGCTCGCAATCAGTAGCGGATGCTCGGTGATTGGATTGTGTAGCTTTCATTGTCGTAGTGGCGCGCTTTAACTTTCTAAAATCAAGAATTCAGTCGCAAAGCAACTTTATTTCCGAGAAACAATCGCTCAAGTTTTGCTCTCTCTTTCTCTCTCTCTCTCTCTCTCTTTCTCTTTCTCTCTCTCTCTCTGTTTCTGTCTCTGTCTGTCCGCCTCCCTCTTTCTCTCTTTCTCTTTCTCTTCTGTCGAGGTATTTAAAATTATTCTCTCGCTAAAGAAAAAAATAAGCGTTTATCGAAACAAGCTGCTCTCCTTCATTATTCATAACAGCGCCAACCGAGAAAGACCTATGCTTTTACATCTCGAAGAGAGAGAGAGAGAGCAGCGCGACGACGACGTTCCGCGTTGTCGCCTTTCGATTTTTCGATGACGCTTTCTCGCATTGAATATTTATAGTACTGTTTGCAAAATGTGATCGCCCCGAGACGCGTTCCTTTTCTCGCTGTTCGTCTGGCATACCTTTTCCCTTTTGCGACAAAACTCCTGTGATTGTGCTCGCAGATACCGTTTCCGCGCCCTCGTACAGAGGAAAAAAAAATGAAAGAAAAAAAAAAAAAGTAAATGAGCTCCGCGAACCGAGAACGCGCGACGCGCCCATCCCGAGCACAGATACAGAGGGACGGTCGTCCTTCGTTAGCGGCAAAAAGCTAATGCGAGGTTACGCGAGATTGGAGACTCCCAATCGGCCCGGGCATTTATACGACGACAATCGATCCTGGTTTTATCTGCTGTTGACTCGATGTTAAACGAATCCGCCCCCGTTCCATGTGCCCTCCACCAGCGACAAATGGCCGTTGCTGACGTGCAACGCGCATCGGGTCCGCGAGATACAATACATATGTCGGCGAAACGTGAACCAGACCGTGTGCGCGCGCGTGTGTGTGTGTGTATGTGTGTATACATACATATGTGTGCGTGCTTTCTGTACCATACGTGCATGTCGCATGATGCAATAGCACGGTCGCGGAATTGCCACTTCAAGTAATAATTTTTTGTCCCGTTGCGACGCACACACACATGCAAGTGACACCCCGGAACGACACGTCGGCTCCCCAACCGGTTTGTTACGTTAGACGAGGCAATTTGTTGCTTCCGAGGCTTGCTCTTTCGGAACACAGAGCGAAACGGCCAAAGCGGCGGCCGATTCTCGCTTGTGTCACGGTGAGAAGTGTCCTCATGTCGAATTCGCGACGAGGCCGCTCGAATCCGTCGGTTCAAATCTACATGAACTCTACTCCCGTGTTCCGTGTTTTTACCTCTTTGCTATTTCCCTCATCGCTTCCTTTTTTATTTCAATATTTTATTCTTTTTCACGTTATAATAATCTGACACTGTTATTATCGTATTAAAAAAATAAACTAAAGCGAGACAAAGATAGAAAATAAATTCTAATTTAATTGAAGAAGATATTACAAATCAAAATAAAATATCCGGCAAAATAAAATATCAAAATAAAATATCCGGCAGTTGTTGGTGATTTCAGTATATAATTCGTGTCTCGTGTATGATTCCGATAATTATATCGATATAATTATCAAAATCACATACACGATATTGTCTAATACGGTTATCTGAATATGTAAACGGCATGTGTACAAACACGGAGGAAATTCCAATAAAGCGGTAATGTCATTGCCATTTAATGTTCGCGTAATGCTCGCGCGCGTGTGAAATCGTCGATACGAATCGGAGTAACGCGCGCGCGCGCGCGGGCTAGGTCTTATACAAGGTACAAAAGCTGCGGCATAATTCGCGGTTAAGGAACTTCGTCTTGCGGATTGCGCGCGACGACGCGGCGGATTCAAAAGCGACAATTACACCGAACTGCAACGTACGAAACAGCGCCGATGGTGTTGGCGACTGGTGTTGGTAAATCGCGCGCTAGAAACGGCGCAGCAACTGTGTGTAATAAGAGAGAACGAAGCGCCGCTTCTCTCGCGTGTATATATTCCGTGTATAGCAGTGTAACATGCCGGAATATTCATCGGCTGAGAATATGCTAAGCACTGAATTTGCGATCCCGACAACTGATCGCTGATACAACGATCCCGCAGGTTTCTCGCGATAGAATAGCAACTGATTACGGAACGGAATATAATATAACGCGCGATGGTACTACGTTCCGCGGAATATGTATGTATGTTCGCCGCGATCTTCGCCTCGTCGAGATTTCGAGGGAAAATTGGTCGTTCTTGTGCGCGCGCCAAGTGTATTAGTTCGTCATCGAGATCTTTTGATAACGTAATTTGTTTTACTCGGACAAACTCTCTCCGGTTTTTACGCGACTTTATAAATCGATGTACCGTACAATGTTGCTCCGTACTATACAATCGAATTTTTGAAATACTTGTCAGTTTTATCGTGCATTTTAAAGTCTTCTTATCTTTATAACCCCGGGATATATATCTCTTCTTGTAAAACTCGCGCAAAATTTCAGGAGCGTTTCTCGGTACGCGCGCGCAGTCGCGAATAGTAAGTGTAATCTCTCCTGCAGAAACCTAAAGAGGATTTCGACGTTTCATGGAATATTACTGCGCGATACATTTACTTGTGTAAAAATAAAAAAAATTTCCATTAAGTGAACTTCTTTTAATAATGCAAGAAGAGATAATATCACTTTGTTAAATAATTTAAATTAATTTTGCGTAATACTAATTTAATTCTTGATAGTGCAAGAATAAAGATACCGAGAAGTAATTGTAAAATTTAATCATCGCGAAAATATGTTAATACATAAAAAAAAAAAACTACATAGTAACATGTAACTTGAAATACGGCATCGAATAATCTTAATAAACTGATCACGCGTGGGGTTGCGTGTTGTGTGATTAACTTCACGAAGTAACTAACTTGCTTATTTCGAGGGTGACTCTTCATAAAACGGGTAGAGGTCGGCAAGAATTTTCTTTTCTCGAAGACATCAATTACCGTCGTCCTAGTAACGAATCGGGGAAGCTGAAAGCGTCCGTTCGACCATCCTCCCGGAACGAGTAAGGGAACTATGCGGAGAAGCGAATTCCCGAGAGGAATCGTGTCAGCCGACATTCATAAACCACACAATTGCGCGCGCGTACTTGTTCGCTAAATATTTAGCTTATTTTTACATTCTTCTCTATTTTTCGCCGCTTGTGTTTTCGAAAAAAAAATACGACGTTAGGACATTACTTATGAACGCGCAGTGGAAAGGAACCAGAAATACGGAAATAAGAGAGACGAAGAAAAAAAAAAAGAGAGACGAGCGAAAAACGGAGAAAAGATAAGGACAATGTTTATTACATGCTTCAGGAGACTTCTTTTACGACTGAAATTGGACTAGCGACTGAGTTGTAGCTGCGTCGACTTTAACGCATTCGCATATAAATGACAGCGAAGTGGAAGTCGCGAAAATAGACCAAAAACTTGAAGAAGAGAACACAGAGAATATCGTATGGTCGTTTCCTCGAGGAGGGCAGCGGAATGTGCCTCGGGAGAAAAAAAAAATGTGTGTTTGCTACCTAAATACTCAAACTATATTTTATTTACTTTCCGCCGAGAAATGTTTGAGCTTGTTGTAACTCGTTTGCCGGATATTGCGGCTGAAAGCTTTTGTACATACATACGTTTTCTTCTTTATTAGAACTCATGTACGTCTTCGGTGGTTATACGTACATAGAAGTGGCAAAGAATTGTTATTACGTTACAGACTAATTGGCCTAGATTGAGAACTCATTTTCACAGTTCGCGATGTTCATGTTCTCGATTTTGTTCTCGCGCCAACAGAAATTCCGTAGTTTTTTTTTTTTTCACGTTATCACGCAATATTACTTTTGCATCGTTTTACCGTGTCATTATTTTATGCCTCTAATGAGAGAATCTTACATAAATTACGTATTTTTCAAATAATAATCTAATATATCTTTAATAATAATTAATTATCTAATATATTTTTTCCGCGACACTGTTGATACCTGTGATTACGCAGCAACAAATATATACAAGTTACAATAATAATATATACAAGTTACAATAATAATTTTCTTTACTCACAAGTCGGGTGCGTTGTTGTTGCATCGTCATTGTATTTCAACCTGGAACACCGTCTCTCCTCCGTTTATCGAATTACCTCACTCCATCCAAGACACTCGAGTTTGGCGTCGGAAAAGCGACTGTCTCTTTCATCGCGGTATTCAACACATTCACAATTTTGTTTTTCGTCACGACCTCACGCGTTCGACACTCGCGACGCGCGTGATTTTACCAAAACAAACGAAAAACCTGAGATCATCTCGCGATGGACGGTCATAATCGAGTAATCACACGTCAATTTCAGGGCATCACTCAGCGGCATCTTGACCTCTGACTTCGCGATAAAAAAAAAGTTCGAATCTCACGCGATTTCGTTCACTGCAAATTGGCGCGCGACGAGGGAATCGAGCAACGCCGAGATCCTGCAACAATAAAACAAAAACCACAGCAACCAGCAGCATGTATTGTAAGTAATATTATTCAATCGCATCACATACTATTTGGCACAACAATTAGCCATAATTCTTATCGCATAAACTATAGTCTCGGAACAATAAAAGTGAATTTTCGCAATACACATTTTTTTAAATTACAATTTTTGATATTTGCATTACATTTTCTGTGTTATTTTCCACGTACACATATCGCTGCCGGCGAGGCGCGCGATTTTATATATCGCGGAGACCGCGTGTGTGTACGGCAATAAGGTACCGTCAGTCGGAGCAATGGAGTCTATTTATGTGCATTAAATTACGAAGCGCGGCGACGTATAAACACGCACAGTCTGCATACATGTATGATCAACAATGATCGCGAGAGAGTTGAATTGCATATCCATAGAAATATTTCCCCATTCGCTTGTGCGGCGCAAATGGAGAACGACGACGACGACGACGACGGCGGCGGCGGCGGCAGAAGATCGGAGAGCGGAGTTTCCGGAATAATATTTACCTTACAATCGGTGCTTCGTTATGAGTTCTTTGGCACTTTTGCGAAGCGCCTCGCGGACCGATGCGCTTCGATTGTCGCTCGCGCGCGCTCGTCGGGAAAATTCACTCATCGGACGCAGGCACGTATGCAAGCGTATTGTCTTCCGTACTACTATTGCGTACAACGTATATACTGCGTACAAATCGCATTTCGCACTTCAGACCGCGACAGGCCGAACGTGAAACAAAATTTCACGGCTCGTTTGCGCAGCGATAGCTTTATCTCCGACTGACACTCCGGCGCGCGTTTCGAAATTATTATTGTATTATCCCACCGTTGTTCGATACAACGCGCAATTACATATGTCCGTGCGAGGCGAAGTTGCGCCCCGATGATTGGCATGAATACGAATACCGCGGCCGATGTGTTCTTTTGCGCGAAAACCCGCGCGGTTATTTATCACGTGACGTTTTGCCGAAAATGCATCGCGCGCCGCGCGTTACGTTTACGCGAAAAATGTTTGAAATATTATGTTACGTAAAAGCTTCGGCGTGTAATATTTCGGAGAGTTGGGGAAATTTCTGCCTCTCGCCCGTCAGTCGGGAAACGAAAACGCGCCATATGCGAGATTTTAATACCCTCCGATTTGAGTCGATAAAGCCTCGTTGCGCTTTGCGCAATATTAATAAGCACGTTTTCGCCGTTATATTTATTCATGAAAGAAAAATTTCGCTACGGTTGTAAAAATCAAACGGTTTCTGTTTAACCGAGTTTTTCGCTCGAGGCACGCGGAAGGATTCTTATCCTTCGCGCGGGGAGAGAAATTTATGTTTGCATAAATTTTTCGGATCGCGTTTTACTCATCAACTTACAAGTTAACCGCGTAATCGCGATCGTAAAACATTTAATCGCTTGTACCGCATTTTTGCATGCGCCGGGGAGAGTGAGCGAGTGAGTGAGTAAGCGAGTAAGTGAGTGAATGTGAAAGAGAAAGAAAAAGAGGGGGAGGAAGGATACTTTAAACTCTTAAAGTTCACCGTTTCAAAAGTATTCGTCGAGCTTCTCCATAAAGAAAACGCGCCCGGACGCGTGGAGGAAATTCACAGGCGCGATGAAGCGGGAAAGAGCGACGAGTCCTCCCCGAACGACGCTTTGCCCGTTGAATTAGAGGATTATCACCATGCTCGGAAAAGACATTGGGAGGCGAACGAGCATTCTAATGGCGTCGCGGATACGCCACTGTTCTAGCAACCTTCCGGCCTTCCAGAATCGTAGTGAATTACGAGTAGCAGGAATTCTTAAAGCTTCTCACGTAATGAGAGTCTCCAGGATATAGGGAACGGAGCGCTTCCCGGCTTCGAAATTCATTAACGGACCCTGCCTCCTCTCTCTCCACTCCCATCACCGTCTATCCTCTTTCCTTTCTCGGTCCACCTTTTCCGTCTTATTCCCCTCCATCCTCTTTTCGCACGATCCTCTCTTCTTCTTCTTCTTCTTCTTCTTCTCTTTTTGCCCGCGCGTCTCATTTTCTCAGTCGCAAGTGTGCGAACCGCTGCACTTGCGCGCCCCATCCGGTTAATGGTATTTTTATAGGTTTACTTGTTTCTCACACACTCTTGCCGGATAGAAACGGACACGCTGATCGAGCGCGCTAATTATTTCCGGGGATAATCGCAAAAGAGTGGACACGCTCTCTCCCTCTCTTCGTTCTCTCTGCGGTCGCCACACCCGCCTGAATTACATATTATTACGCCACGACAGCGGGGAAACGAACTATTCTCTCTCTTTCTCTGCCCGCTTCTCCGCGAGCTTTACAAGTTACTTCCTGATAATTGAATTGCACATTATTGAAGCGAACTGCTCTAATTACTGCTTGCTCGAGATAAATTATGGATTGAAATAATAATTTATGCAAGAGAGAGGAAAGATAATCTTTCGCGAAAGTAGGATACATCTAGCCAGGAGATCTTCCATTTGCGTCATTTTGCTCCTCGTTAAGCGAAACACTTTGTTTACATCACGCGGTTTATTTTTACGGTGTAAACATTCTATTTTTTTTGATAAATTTCAAGCAACCATCATCGCTATTTTGATTAACAATTATTTTTCATTGTGTGTGTGTGTTTCTTCTTTCATTTATCGATAATGTGCAAGAAGACAATTTTTTTCTCCGTTAATTATGGATCTCGCAAATACGATCCGACATTATAAAGTTTTGTTTGGTGTAGCTCCCAAGTTGGAGACGCGCTGCTTCTTTGATAGACAATTTGAGTGATTTAAGACGTCGCCTGAAGTTTCGCGCGAGTTTTTGTCGCGTCACGGAGAAGCGAAAGTCATCGTCAGACACAGAAGAAGAAGAAGAAGAAGAAGAAGAAGAAGAAGCTCGTCGGTCTCGTCGCGGCTGCTCGCGCCCCCTTCGTAAATTCCATCGAGTTAACGATTTTCGAACTACGGTGGACGCGGAAGTCATTGCCTAACGATGTCAATGTTTCTGCGATCTGCTGGAGAGCAGTTAGAACTTTCTGATCGAAAATGGTTCTTCAACGGTAGTTTCAATTGGAATGAATCGGAACTTCCACTCGGAAAATGGGCCCTGATTTAACTGCGATTGCTACATTGTGTCGACTCTTTCTTTAAAAGTTTCTCCCGCTACCGATGTCCATTGATGAATTTATACTTCTATCACTTCTCAAATTACATTGCTTTCGAGCGTGATAAAATACACTACTTTCTTGTAATCGAATAAAATTGGTGCGATAAGAATTGTTTCTGCAAATTTGCACTCGTATTACAACGAGATTTTCAATTTGTTTTTGACGAGATCGCATCCGAATTACATTTTGCATATAATTTCTGTATAAAGTAAACAATTTCTTACACTTCAAGAAAATTGTGTGCATCGCCCCCCTCGAGACTCTCTTCTTTTGTGAAAATTTACGGCGTGTTTATCATCGCCGCGGCTTCTTTATCTCTATATGTATTGCGTTTTCTAGTCAACGCAATCATTTGAATACATTCTCCCGGTCGGCTTGCCGAGTGCCGATGTTGGAATTCCTTGCGTGAAATATGTATATTGTGGCTCGTATTCTTGTATGGAAATGAGAGTCTCGAAGTTCCAGAGCGAAGAGCCGCTCGCGCGGCGTGTGGCAGGTGAAAATACAATTTTTCAGCGCGACCGGGATTAAGGCGCGCGCGGAATTCGATTCAGGGATTTTGCGGAGGGAGAAACGGTGCCTTACAAAATTTCAATAAAAATTCTCATCAATCGGCGTCTCCCGGCGTCGCGGCTAAGCGTCAATTTTCGCGATCGCTTTTCAATAAATCCGAATCTCTCGTTTTGTTTGCGTTTCCCGAGCGAAGATGAGCGCGGATAAATAAAATATATTTCTTTTGTCGAAGAGATTTCACGAACTATTGTATTATAAAAGTTGAATATTAATGTTGCGCGCGCACGATACGTCTCAAAAGTAATTTTAATCTCTCTCTCTTTCTCTCCCTCTCTCTTTCTCTTTCTCTTTTAGAAGTAATAATTAATTTAACTCTTGCAAAATGAATGTGTGCGCGTCACCATTAATTCCGCCTAGCAAGAATTATTGACAATACCTGGTATACCTGGCCGGAGTTCATTCTAGTCCCCATGCAGAAAATTTAATTTCACACAGCAAGCAACCCACACAGCGCAATGCGCCGTTTACCTCGCGTGACACACGCCGTTTCAACGAGCTACGCAATTACATTACGTGTAACTATGAAGATTGTCGTGAGCGCTGTTTAATGTAATATGCCATGAAGTAATATAATTATATGGCAAACTGCATCTTCTCGCAAATTAAAAAAGCACACAATAGTCTGATAAGTAGATATAAGCATTTATATAACATATACTTGTTTATATAATGAGCGTTTTTTTCTCTTATTTTTTCCACTAAGCAAACAAAAGAAAATTAAATACGCGCACACATATGCCTCATATTTATTGAAAATGCAACTAAAGACAGACTGTTGTTTTTCATATCTCAAAAAATCTAATATGAGACATCAGAAAACGAGAAAAAAACTACGAAAGAAAGAAAGAGAAAAATATAGAAACACTATGCTAAACAAAATTAATAAAAAAAAGAATTTTGCATTTTGAATCGTACTTTTCGCGATCAAAATAGTTCTTTCAACGTGACGCAATAATATACAAGTCAAAAAGATCTCATCCGCAACTACGGACGTAAGGTTTAGGGAGCACCGAATCATTCCTTCGCACGGGAAGCAGCAGTCTCCACACATAAACGACAAGTGCTTGCTCACAGTCCATATGCTGTTCTCTCAACTTCGATCCCCAGATGACGGTATGTTTGACGGAACCGTCGTCGAAATCCGTGAGGTTGCCGCTTAAATCCGTGATATCGTAGACGCTCCTCACGTCGACCCTCCTTAGCGAGGGATGATAACTGAAACTCGTCTGGCACTCGACCCACGTATAGACACATTAGTTCGCGCG